TCCCCCCCCGCCATCAACGTTGTGGGCGTTCTCACCATGTATCAGCTACATGACATGGACGACATGAATCGGTAGCCATGAAGCATCCATGTTCCGCGGAGTTTTGCAGTGTACACGTGTTGATAATAGTCGCAGTACCAGGACAGAGGGGTGAGTATTAGCTTTTCAGCCTTGACACAAGGTGTTGACCAGCAGGAAAGGTGTCCTCAACTCACTCGACTGAACACACGAAGAACCTTAGTCCGTGAGCTATTGCGTCCGCACGTCAGCACTCGGTGTTGCCCGTCGCGGGGGTCTCACTTGTCACAATGAGACATCCGACGAATACGGCCCTTCATGCATAACGCTGCCCGCGCTGAGTAGGGTCGGGTCCAGTACCAGTCGACCGAGCTGCCACCACCGAGGCGTCCCGCGTCTACATGATACGTGTAGCCACCACACCACAGTTTTCTCCGGATCACTTGGCGGACGTGAGCTTAGCCGTGGGTAGTGTGTCGGCGCTGTCACTAGTGACAGCGCAATCCTGAAAAATTCCTCCAGTGTGGTCAGGACGGATTCTCGGGTGGGAGTCCCGGACGGCGGTGCGTCGGGGTATGAGCGTCCCCCTTAAGTTGGTGATACCTTTACCGCTGCGGGCGCATCTATCAGCGCAACCTGGAGAAAGGCTCATCTATTGGAAACGGCCTTCGGGGATTGGCGCTTCTGTGGAGGCAGGCGCAGTAGACATGTTCCGCAGTCGGATCTCAAGCCACGTCTGGTGACGAGGCTCCACGAGTCTAGTCGCCGCCAACTGGTTTCTTGCATTAGCAAGTACAGTAGGAGGATCGCTTGAGGGCACTCGCAGTGCTGGTTGCCGTTCGTACCTAACTGTCGGGCTTTGACAAATCGTCACACGAACTTCGCCTCATCTTGACATGTTCATCATCCATTTCCGACGGTATCATGCATGGTGCCTCGGCCGGCACTCTCATCAATTGGCGTCTAGCCTTGACATCCGGCTTGCGGGCCTGCTCTGCGGCATAAGTACGACCCTGGGGAGCCCTGCTCGAGAGCTGAGTCTTTGCGCTACCGACGTGACAGTCTGGCGTATTTATTACGTGAGTGGCAGGGCACTAGGGCCTGAGGAGTAGTGACCGCGTAGGAACTGCATCATAAAGTTACGCTACCCTGAAAGGCAAGCCGATCAAATTGCTCCGTACGGCAATGGTAACTGGAGCACATTGGTGCTGTGCATGAGATGATGGGGTTTACAAAGAAGTTGTTGAAGACTACGAAGTGACCGTATCTACGAAATGGTTGAGCATTCTCGGATCATCCGAGAACAAACGTTCTTTGGAGAGAGAGTGGTGCAGAGCCAATGGCTGTTTTCGCCAGGAGAGGCACCGACATGAGCGCCAAAAGAGGCAACTCTGATGATGTGAAAATGCAGAGTGTTTTGATGTCGACCTAACCAGTACTAGATTGTCCGAGCCAGCCACCATACCCGCCTTCGTTACGGTGGTATTTTGGCAATTCCGGTTATGTATAAGCCCACAATTCTTTCCTGGCGTTCTATGACATCTCCCATGATTGATCTCTCAGCCCTCGCGATCCAAAAGGCGCAAGCTTCGCGGGCTGTGTAGAATCTCTCGTCGCCAGCCTTTCTATCATCACGCGAGAACCGTAGAGCGCCGTGGTATCTATCACCGACTTTCTATTATACAGTTGTCTCTCTCGATTTGCCGCAGTGGCGCATGTCCTGCTCGGTCCATAACGCGCGCTGACTCTCTAAAGACACCTTCTCCTCCAGAACTACCGCCCATAGATCCTACGTTGCCAGTGAGCCATTATTTCTACAACGTCTGCTACGATGTCGGACGACCTACCTTGGCCGGAGCTTGGTAATGTCTCGCGCGGTGCCACTCGAGGAAACCAAGGACAAAAGGGCGTGCTGGGGCCGCCAGACTCCGAAGGCCGCTGCCTACTGCAGCTGCGGGTCCAGCCCGGCGTACTTGCCGTGCGCCTGAATCGCCAGGCAAGCGATTGGTACCGGCTGCTCGACAGCGAGGTCACCCGCGCACTGAAACTGACCAAGACCTACTGGCGAAAAGCGCGACGGCGGCAGGACTACGACGCGCGTGCGGACCAGGACCACATGGAACTGCACGAATGGCTGCAGCAGCTCAAGGACAAGGTCATGTCGCACATCGAGCTGCTCATGCAGAAGGGCGAGATTCAAGGCCCGCCATACGTGATGCCGGACATCGTCGAGCTCTCGTTCCTGCGCAAGTTCGTCGAGCGGCAGGCGGCGGGCATTCCGCATAATCCTCGCCTGCGGCGGGCGTACCTGCACACGAGCTCGAGCGGGAGCCGGCCACAGCAGCTGCCTTCGCATGCGTCCCCAGGGACGCTGACACCATTATCAGGCACTGGTTGGGAGGCAGCTGACGCGAGAGGTGCGTTTTTGGGTCCCGAGAAGCGAATAACCTGACCAATCGGCTTTTGGGCAGACGACGAGCAGGAACCGATAGCGTCGTCGTCAGGTATCGCCACGGTTGACATTGACGATATCCAGGGTCTCATGCGCGAGATGGAGTCCAGTCGTAGGTCTCCTGACCTGGATTAGGTGGGAATGTCATGCTCACGTCCAATTTTCCCGCGCGCAGGAACAGCGCTCGCAGAAGCGCGAGCTGAATTCTCGCGAGCTCGCAGGGAGACCAAGGAAGCGTTTGGGAGGTATACCTCCTGCATGGACCTAGAGGAGAAAGCGCGGCAGCAAGTCGCAGCAGCCGAGCAGCGGCGGGATGCCTTAAGTACGAGCTATGCTTGACGAGCAAGTACCCATGTTGATACCCTTCATTTTAGCATCTAGGATTATGGATATGCACCGAAACCAGTATGCCGAAGGTGGATGCCACCCACTTGACGCTTGTTAGTGAGACTGACTCGGTTCTGCATTGCAGATTCATCCGCACGACCATCAACGACCGAAGAGCAGACACACTACCCTTTGTATCGACCACAGTCGAGAGAGAGCACGGGTGGCTCTCAAGACGAGCATATGAGCCCTCTGTGCGTTCTTCCCTACGGCTTGCCACGTCTCCACTGACCGGAAGTCCGTAGGCAAAATAGCATGATGCTCACCGACAATAACACGGCCTGGAGAAACATGCGGGACATGCACTGGCCTCAAACTGATGCTATGGGCGCCCCGGTCGCGGCGCAAAGCAGTGATATGAGCATGCTAGAGCGGGTATGTTGCGCGGTCGGGTAAATTTTGGCACTTGCGGCTGCTCATCAATCCGCAGGTAAGCCAATCTATGAACACGCCGGCACGGAGCCACGAAATGCAGATGGCGACCCACTTGAACCCGGAGCGGAAACATGCTCGCACCTGGGAAAACATGAGAGGTCTGTTTCGTGTTGCGTAGATGTCTGACGTGTACTCACAGGCTATGCTGACTAGCTCAGGAGGAATTCCAGGTGGGTCGGCTTGCTGTTCGGCTCGCGAGGGACACTGATGTGTCCGGTAACACAGGACATGACCGCTTTTCCGCCTGCGAAGCGCCAGCAGGTTTTCAGCTCGGCATCAGGCGCTCTGACCTCATCGTTGCGACAATCAACGCAGTCGGTGATGCAGGTTGCGGACTCGCATCGAGTAGACCAGGCGGTCGGGGTTATGCTGAATGCGCCAGGATCCGGAGCTCATCTCGGAAATGTTCCGTTGTGATTAACGATACTGCACGCGCGTAGTATGTCGGCTCGCTGTTTTTTTTATGCCGATGCGTTCTGTGTGCTAAATTATCTAGTAGATCTATTAATTTGACGACTCGTAATGTTCTCCTATTGTCATGCTCTCATAATTTATGATGTTCTGCAGAGTCTGCGCCGGAACTTGCGCTGTTAGGGTGCTGAACGCAGGGCTGAGGCAGCCGCATATGGCAGGAGGGCGAGGAAATGGTGGTAAGTGTTTTCTGTGAATATTGTGCGCTCTGCAGGCCAAACATCGGGGATATGCTAAATGAGGGGAGAGGGTAAGCGCCTGGCGTTCGTTCTGCGTGGAACGTAGCGTAATCTGGATCTTCACGTAGTCGATCGAGTCGATCGACGGTCCATATGTGCGTGTGCGCTCTTTCTCTGCGGAGAGACCGCACCGCCCGACACTGGCGTACGCGAGCGTCCTGGGATTCGAACCCGTGGGCGTTCCTCCCTTGTGCGGCTGCAGAGTCCTGGCTGTCTGCACAATCCGACTGGATGCAAGGTGAACACGGCGACGCCTGTCTTGTCCTGTTCATTTTGCAGCCCGTGCGCGCGCGATGGCCGCTGGTGGTTAGTGAAACCTTGTGGATTTAATCTGCGCCGCGCAGGTCTTTGCCCGCCCGACCTTTGCCGCCATGTGATCGATTGTTCTGCCGATCGGGTTGAGCGGAGGTGTGCCTGCTTCTTCGCCGTCCTTCGCTGTGATCCGTCGCCGCCACCACTCTTCCCCGCGTTCGAGTCCGTCGTTTTCGGTCCTCGTCGCTGCCATCGTCCTTGTGCAGACTTGCCTGTGATTCCCGCCGCCTGCTCCGCACCCCCCTCCCCTCCACCCGGCCGTGTCCTGGGTTTCATGTCCGGGGCAGGCGCAGGCCTTGCTTTGGTCATCGGCGTGGCTACTCTCGGACTCGGCCAACGTTGCTTTGCAATGCGCATACAAGTTGGGGTCCGTGAATTTGGCCCGGTGCGGGTGCGTTCATTGGCGTTAGGTTGGGTCCGAGACTGTTCTGTGTCCGCACGTCGTCCGCTGCAAAAATCGCCGACGCTGCTCGACACTGCATTACATTCGCAGCAGAGCCACGGGACGCGATTGCCACCGATATGGCTGACTAAGCCTCTCATTCTTAGCACCGACTTCCCGATTAGGAAAGCAGCAGGCTCGTGTAGACGGCGTGTTCGTGGTCTGAGCAGTGCATTTCGTCGCTCGCCCCAAGGCTAACGTCTTTTCCCCGTCTTCCTTCGCAGATGGCTGTCCAACTCCTCCGCCCTCGCGCCAATGTGCAATTTGCCCCGGCCGTTTGCACCGGACACCCCCCTCGCTTTAGTTCGTCCAGATCACCGCCACACTTCTATCTCGTCCTTTAAATCCCGTGATGACGCTATTGTCTCTCTTCGACCTAATCTTCTGGTGGACTGTCACCAATGTGCTTTGGCGTCGCTCCCTCCTCTCCTGCCGTCTTTTGCTTTGGTCCTTCGCGTGGCGTACACGTGCGCGCCCCCACTTATATCTGCGCCCTTTCACTCTTCCTTTCCAACATTTAAAACGTCAAGCGCTTCACACGCAGACTTCGTGATTCTCTTCTCCGATCTTCTTCTATACCATGGCCTCACGACGTGAAAGGTTTCGCTGTGAGTCCCCGCCGATCTGTGAAGACTCTGCCTCCCTCATGCAGTCCGCAGCTAAACTCTGCAGAAATTTCGCCCTCGGTCATTGTCCTCAGGGCGACCAGTGCAAATACCTGCACCCTCTAGTTCCATCATTTCTCCCCGCATACGCTGCACCACGGCCTGCAGCGGCATCGGTAAGTGTACCCAATGCCCGACTTCGTCACCCATGCACTCAAACTACGGTGCTTGCACTACTGCAGCAGCATGCACAAGGCCAGCTTAACCCTTACTCCAGGGTGCAAGCAGGTCCTGGTGGAGAATGGCTGCCCTCAACATTCCACGCACAGCAGTCTGAGATGCCGCAGCTCAACTGGCCGAATCCTACCCCCTCCACTTCTGCCGCAGGAACAACTCCACACGTCTCTTTTCCTCAATTTAAACCCTTATCCTGGAGGACCACATTATGCAGGCATTTTACAAAGAATAGAGGATGGTGCCCGCTTGGTGATGAATGCAATTAGTGAGTAGACGTTCTTGTGTACTTTGAATTTTCTTGTTTATTTTCTTTTATTCAGTATACACGACTTGGAACTCGCAGAGATCGCTCTCGAAGACGCCAGGTTTCCCCCGCGTAGAGGCTTGACCGGGCCTCCGGGTGGTCGAGATGGCCAAAGCAAGGCCGGGACAAAGCACAGTCACTGTTGGGCCTACGTCCAGGGCATGTGTCACGTCAAAGACTGTCCCTATCTGCATCCGGTAGCCGTCCACAGATGTACGTATCTTTGCACCCATAGCAACGCCCCTCTCTAAACCGCTTCTGTCCGCAGTTGTCCGCCACACGCCCTGTCTACAGTGGCCCAATTGCCCCAAGGGCGTACTGTGTCCATACAAGCACCCTGAGCCCATCATCCCAAAGGTGCCCGTCCTCCCCCCTTCGATCGAGTCCCCGCACCGCGCAAGGCAGCCGAGCCCCGCAGATAATACCCTCTCCGGCGCGGTGCAGTACTACGGGACGACGTACTTCCCCCTCCAGCCCCAGACTAATGTCTCTCCGTCCGCTCCACCCGCCCCGAGACCCCACCTCCCTGCCCCTCCTGCGCACATGCACCCACACCCGCACCCACCGCCAGCCCCGCTCCAGCTTCCGCCGCCGCCGCCGATGCGGCCTTACGACGCCCCGTCGCTTGAGTACACGCACTCCTTCGGCTCGCAGTCGTTCGGCTCCCCGCCGTGGATGGGCCCACGCACGCCGATCTCGCCGCCAACACAGATGACGGGTGTGTACGCGTACGATCCGCACGCGCCGTACCCACATCCCCACCCACACGCCCTCACCACGCCCGACTACCGCATGCCGGTGCCAATGCCCTCCCCGGCGTGGAAGGGCCATATTATTTACGAGGCGGACGTGCGGCCGCTGTCGTTCCCCGCTCCTCCCTCGATGTCCGCCGTCCCGCAGGGCGCGCTGCAGCTGCAGGGCCCGAGTGGTAGCGGACCGCCGCAGAGGGTGGTGCACCCGCCTGCAGAGGGGAGCGTCGCGACAGGCGTGGCGGTGCCCGCGGGGCCGAGTGCGACTGGGGAGGACGAATTCCCGTACGTGCCGCCAAAGATGCAGCGCGTGGGGCACGCGCGGCGGATCAGCGTGGCACTGCGGAGCAAGGAGGACAGCGACGCGCTCGGGCTGTTCAAGGGGGACGCGGTGCGGAGGGAGAGCTGGCAGACCCACGGCACGCGCCATGCGCACAAGGTGAGAGCGTGCGTGTCGCCCCCCCCACGTTTCGTGTGCTGATTGGCATGCTTTGCGACAGAGCTGGGCGCCCTCGTCGTCGGGCATTCCCTTCCTATGAGCGCGGCAGCGCCGCCCGCGCGACGTGCTGCCCCTTTTTTCGTGTTCATTTAACTGCCTGCCGGCTCGGCATGCCCCTGCCCCATCGCGCAAATTTCTGTTTCTTCTCATCTCATGTACCCTGGACCATCATGGCTGCCAGACCTGTTCGCCACACGGACTCTTTCTGCACGCATGACACTCTCCTGATAGCACCGCACATACTACCCGGCCGTCCTTCCCTTCGCATGGATACCTCCCCTCGCACGTTCCGGCGCTGCGCCCGCGCAGACGCATAGACGCATCGTAAGTAGACGCACACGCGCCCCCACGCGCACCACGGACTCGCATGTCGGTACTGCTGACGTGCCGACACGGTCTCCGTACAGTGTATTTCCTAGCTAGCACTACCCCACCCGAGTTCGGCTGTACGATCTAGTCGTGTCTTCCTAGTCAAATGCTATGCTTCCTTAATGAGCTTTTCCCACTTCCCCACCTTCCAAGAGTCGGGCGTGGCCTCTGTCCGACATGTCTCCGATGGACTTGGAGACTTCGCTGTGTGCACCGACACGGCTCCGAGCGCAATCTGCATCGCTTGGCAAGCTTACTGATTTGGAAAAACCCTGCGAACTTGCGTTGTGGGGCACAGCCACCCGCGCCCTGGCCTCAAGGCGGAGGAGAGGACGCTCCGCGCCTTATAAGCGCCCGGAGGTGAGCAACACGTTCGAACAAGTACTTAGGCGCACAGCTTTGCACCGGCTGACTCATATGTTTTCTCATATGAATGTACCATGCTGCTCTGGCGTTCCCAGAGAAGCACCAAACAGTAGTGCTCAGCTGACTCGCGGCCCTTTGACCATCTGAGCACAGCGGAGACGTGGGCGTTTAACCAATTAACCTTCCAGCGCAGCGAGTCGTATCGATTACAATGCGATTCAATTGCACTGGGCAAATGACAACGGATAAGCCGCGTCTCCAGGGACAAAACTAAGAGACTGATGGGTGCGATATCGGAGATGTGGACATAATACAGACGGAGGTGGAGATGGGTGGAGATGCGCGAAAGATGCGAGATGGGTGCGTGCATGGAGACCGGGGCGGAACTACAACGAAAACGAGGAGGGAGAGGATACGAGAGATTAACGGGGACAGGAAATCAAAAAAAATTGGGAGACGTGCGCGCGGAATCCGGCGAGACAGAGTGATATAATGTTATGGGTAAACACGATGACGATAATGATCCACGACTAAATTGACAAAATCAGCGCGGCAATCCGCAGTCTACCATCGTTGCAAATAATTAGGTTTTCCCTGAAAGCGCTGCAGATGCGCGAGGGGCGATGGGCGGCGAACGGCGTGAGCATGTAGATGGATAGAGTGGAAAGCAAGACGAGAGCACGAACACGACATGTGGCAGGAAATGGAAATGATGTGAGAGCAATACCCAAAGCGATGCGGTGGAGATGTCGATGGAAGAAGCGATGTGGACAAGTGACGCAAGGACGGCGTCGGATGGATCATACCCACGACATGACGGACCATGAGGAGTGGGCACAATGAGCACCAAGTAAGTGACGCCGAGCGCAGCGACGACCGTGCGACGTGGAATACACAGCATGTGGCTGCGTGTCCTGGATATGACGACTGTCACCATTGGATGGACACAGATAACCGCAAGCGAGTACCTAACCCAGCGCATGACTGAGTGTGCTGGACACTTGCACGGGCATGGGATCCATACTGATCGGCACCTCATAAACAGCAGTGACTTCCGCAGGGGTGGGGACAGGAGCGCCCACAGCCAATGGCCCAGGCAGCGCGGGCGAACATCCGACGCCCGACGCCATCAGGCACTGCATGAAACTGCCATGCCACGCACATCCTTGCGGATGGGGCTGCGCCGCGCCTGGGAACGGCAGTACACTCGGTGCGGCGGTGAAGTGCGCTTCATAGGGCGGGGACGGAGGCGATGGGCTTACAACCATTGGTTCCAGCGTTGGCGACGCCGGGCGAAGAGCCGGCTCGAGCCACGCACCGTCCGGGTGTGGTTGTGGGGGCGGCAGGGTATATGAAAGGCTCGCAACGGAGGAAGAGGTCGACGAGACAGAGTCTGGGGACACACCGTACGCCTGTGTGCTGGCGGCACCGAACACGCCCTGCTCGGTACAGCAGAAGGGAGAAACATCCTGCGGGACGCCGTACGACATGTCACTTGGGAGAAGTGTGCTAGGGTTGGACGGTGGAGAGGGTGAAAGCGAGAGTGCGGTGAGCCATTCAGGCTGGCCGAGGGAGAAGTACTGGCTGAGACGGATGTTGGCCCAGTCAGCGCGGCGCTGTCGGTCGACGGGAGTCCCACGCCCGACGTATGGGATCCCATCGGGCGTGCGCTGGGGACATGACTCTAAGCCCAGTGCCCTGACCGAAGTGAGGGGTGGCAGCTGCAACGGAATTGCTGGGGCGGGTGAGTACTCTTCAAGAGTGGGAGCAGCAGCATCAGGAGCAGCCGAATCTGCCGGGTCCGCATGGTGTTCATGCGCTGGGAATGGTGAAGACGGCGAATTGTCGGAGACGTCGAGATCCATTACGTCGAACCCAGCTGCATTCATGTCGCCAAGCTCCCCAGAGGAAATATCTTCGTCATCGCTCGCCTCATCATCCCAATCCTCGTCGTCTTCATCGTCAAGATCCATAAAACTGTCGTTAGTGTCGCCAATGTCATCCCTGGAGCCCGTGTAATTGTCCGGGGTATACAGTCGGAACTCGGGCGGCGGTGACTGGCGCTTGGCTTGTGCGACGACTACGGCTCTTACAATCTCCCGAGTATACCTATGCACGCTGTTCGCACCGCATATATGCGTTAGCACTTGCAATAATAAGACTGTATGCGCAAACGTACAGTTCACCAATGCGCTCGTGACAAGCAAGCTTCCATATGTTATGATCTCTCGACTCTGGCCGACGAATGCGGTCCCTGATTGGATGGCGAACTCGGACGGACCAAGACGAAAATCCATAGAGTTCGTCATCTTCGCTCGCGTCTGTCAAAGATGACGACAAAGGTGGCCGACTGAGTGGCGATGATGGTATGATGGCACAATGCGGCAACCTAGGCGCTAGCGCAGACGCTGGTGTGACCGTTGGCCGAGTATTTGCATCACTATGTTCAGATGCTGGGATAACAAGCTCTACGGAGCTGCGGGTGTACAATAACAACGTCAGAACAACATGGAGACATGCAGGAAGAGCACCAACCACGAATCTTTGAACTCAGTCGCGGACGACAAAGTGGTTGAATACACTGCCAGGCTGGCAAGCGTGTCTCTACAAAGAGACTTGTTAGTTTGCATTTCCACAGCGGCGTACGAAGGACTTACTCTTCGTGAATGGGGCCATCAGTAGCACGTGGAGCCAAAGCAGTCTTGACGTTCTTGATCTCGTTTGTAGATGGCTGCGCACGTAGTCAGACAAAAAGAGCAGTGGACGATGGGCATTCGAGGGCTTACAGTAAGTACATGGGCGTCAGAGATGGAGGGAAGCAAGACGGTGCCGTTAGCAAAAGTGTGACGGGCGTCGGAAAGGTTCCGAGATTCAGCTTGCCTAATGAGGGCAATATTCTCTAGTATTCCAGCATCCCCGGGTGGCAGCGGGCGAGGATCGTTATCGACCTTGCTGAACGAGACTCTTGATCCAAAAGGGGAAAAGGCTGGAGGAGACTGTGGCGCGGGATGGTGGATGTTCATGGGACAGGAGACATCGGAAGAGCCGGAACTGGCTCGTCTCTGCCGCTTGAGAGCGCGGAGGGCTCTCGGGGTGCGGAATTCATTTTCAGCCTCATCAGGGGACCCAGCAGCGTCTACACTCAGGGGCTTCACACAGCTCTCCTCATCGTCTCGGCGACGCTTGGTAGTCGATCGAGGGGCTACTTTCAGTTGCTTTGGCAGGGCAACAGAGATATTCTCCTCGGCAACTCTCCTTGCCCGGCCAGAGTGGCCACGCACTTTCGTGGCGGGTTTGGTCGTGCCGAGGCTTGAGACGCGGACGACGCCACGATTGCGGGTCGATCTGGCAGGGGCCCCATCTGGGATGCTAGGCCCCGCGGTCTTAACATACGGCCTTACGCCGCCGCGCAGACGAAGGCGAGAAGAGCGTCTCAGGGCGGCGTCGGAGGGCTGGGAGGCGATCAGACTGGACGAGTCAGCTAGGTGCATTGGCCTGGCCATGATGTGAGGGTGTGGCCGTGATGAGAACACCGGGATGGGTTCTTGGTCGGTGGGTGGGATGTAGATGTGACAACTGACACTGCCTGGCGGCAATCTGGGGGAAAGAAACACGACGGAGAGGCATTGCTGGGTGAGTGGCTGTGGGAGAATGAGAGAAAGAGACGGTTACATTCGAGGACAGGGCGCAGTGAAACCGAGCCCGAACGGGAGTTCTCAATTGAGATGTGGACCGTCTCCTGTCCGAAGCGGGGGAAATTGGCTGCACCAAATGCAGATCGGATATCGATGATGGAGGATCGGGTTTCCGCCAACGCGAAAAACTCTGCGTTCCCCCTCCCCGCCACGTAAGCCCTAGGCCAAATACGCGCACACACCCTGCCGCCCGCTAAACAAGCCACACACGTGACTCCAAAGGCACCCGCGCAGCCAACATATGCATGCACTGAGTGAGCTCCATGGCCTCATTGAATATGTACATAAATACGATAAGTCGCGGCCATCGCCCAGTGGGAGCCGGGTGGGGGACGGCCACTCCAGAGACCTGTACGCCCCTACCCGTTTATATGTATCTTCCCCAGCTCCGCGGCTTCCTCTCCACAGACCATCGCGAAACCGCCATCTGTCGTCGGAGTGTAATCTCCCCGGCCTCGGTACGTCCGCGCGATAAGTGTAGCCCCCGATGCGGCCAGCGTCCTTCTCGTTCCAGCCGCTCGCCTTCACATTGCGAGGGTACAGTCCATATCCGGGATGGTTCCTCACATGTGTCTCCGTGCTCTATTTTACGTATCGCCGCACAACGTTCGCTCGCTTGTCTTGCCCTCACCAGTCCCTCGTCGCGCTGTGCCTGCGACTAGCGCGGTCACCGGTGTCATCCAGACTCAGACTCCCGCTGTGGACTCGGGTCTGCCCTGTGGCTCTGTGTCTACATTTAACACCCCTCCACACCCTGAGGCGGTTACTGTAATTTACCCTGCCAAGCTAGCGTGTGCAAGCGAACAGAGTGCGCTGGGAAGCCTCCAAATCCCTGGCACTGTCAGATGCTATGCTTCGCAGCACCTGACCACGATAACGTCCGCAGTGAGGATGCGAGACGCACGCCTTCTGAATGCAGGTGCTACGGAACGCCTTGGTAATGCGGTACGAGCTCTTTGTCCTTTGCTTGCAGCTGCGAGACCAAAGCGGAAGAATGAATCCATCCAGATATAGTACGTCACCACATTGTATAATCACCGTGCGCATCTCATTCAGTCTCCAATACCCGCGCGCTGCGATTTGGCGTGGAACGTAAGGGCGAGCACAATTGTGCATTCCTCGCGGCTTGAATCCAAAGGCAGATCAAGTTGCTTTTGGGTTTCCGTTCACACTCATATTGATCGCGATTCGTGATCGAGCAACTTGAACCTGCGTTGATGCCATCCGTCGCATCACGTGCATGGCAAGGAAGGTACAACTTGAAGTCGAACGTCTCTGGCAATTCGCACAGCTCCAATCTAATGCAAGAACCCATGTTTTATTTAAGAGATTTATCACTAGGCGCAACCGATCGGGAGGATTCTCATGTGGCTATAGTGTGCAAGGCGCAAAGTGCGACTGGCGGTTGGGATGCCGCGCTGTTCATCACTCGTGGGTGCCTTGTCGATGCGCTGCCAAACTATTTCTGCAAACCCTCTCATGTACATATTATTTTCCCTCGCATCATAAGCTGATCCGTTTACGCCAGGCTCAACTGAGGACACCGTGCATCCCAGAGCATCCCATGATGGCACGTCATGATGTCCAGATGCCAGTGCGCAATCCTGTCGCGACGGTCATGTCAGGATCCCCGGCGGAGAATCGGTATATTGCCTGTGAACCTGATGCGACCGATCTTCTGCTCCCCGTTACCAGATCGACACTGATGCGAGCATACCGAGAGGATCCCAGTCAGCGTCTCCTGCAACTAAGGATTCATCAGCACAGGGAGTCAGGGGCGCAGATTTCTCGGATGCATAGATACGATCCTGCCGTATCCACCAACTGGCCCTGTAGGCCCTTTTGCAGTTGGCATCGCCGATGTTGATCCAGCGGTGTCTCTCGGCATGCTCCACATCTGAGCAAGCTAGAGATGTGATGGACAGAAGGATCAAGGCGGCGTCAACTTCGACGCTGGGCGCTCGAGGGACTGGAATCCAGAGCGCTGCAATGGAGAATGATGGCTTCGACGAATGGGTTAGATGTATGGGATCTCGCGAACTGAGATGAATTCATACCTTCCCCGTAAGTTGATCATCTTATTCCATTCAGTGAGCAGTAAACGCCGCCAAATTCCTCGAAACTCCTTAGCTTCTGCTCAAGGGCGCCGTCTTTGAACCCCCTGTCGAGTCCGACGAGCGAGCGCAACGCCCAAGTCACCCGACATTGCCAGAATTCTATGTTAAAATGCAGCCACACCGTTAAATGCACACGGTCTAGGGATTTCAAATGCAAGCGACAATGGTCGTTTAATTCAGTTTTGCGTATCACACCCATCTGATAGCAGATGCGCGAGATTCGAAATATACTGCAAGGTCTCTCGATGGGAAACGGTACCAACACTGGCATTCGATCTCATGACTCGGTGACGATACACGTCCTTGTGGTCACTTTGATGCTTTCCACTATGCAGTGTTCAAGTTGATGCACACAGTGATGAGACTATCTCTGTCGCCAACTGTTGTATTGTATGAGTCATGAGCGTGATGGTTTTAGTCTGCAAATGTACCTAGCACGGGCCCCAGGCTCTTGATCACGGTGTAGGGCAGTGTAGATAGATGTTTTACGTAGTCAGCTGGGCTTTAGAATAATGAAGACTTGGCCGTCTGGGCATGATAGCGCTGTGGTTCTAAATGAAGTCCTGCCTGCTCTCCGCATTCTTGGAATGACCGCGCAATGACTGCGTGCTTTCAAATGGCCCAGATACGTCAACCACCTTAACCTGTACGATACTTACCCATCCACTATCAGTTTTTAGAGAGCGACTTGTCAGCTTGAAGATATCTAGGAAATCTAAAACGAAGATGATATGCTCAGCCGTGTATGCCCAACTTCTCTGTTCTGTGGGGTGTCAACACCCACACTCAAATTTGTGGAGATTGTAGACCTACCCGAGAGTGTGTAGTTACATCTAAGCCCTCCCTTTCGAAGGGGCTAACTCCTCCAGCCGCAAATTCAAGGTACTCAGAGGTGATTGAAGTCCCCAAACTGCGTGCTCCCGGCTCTGCGATAGAAACGCTCATTGTGGCATCCCGACTGGCCACTGGATCATCCTTTACGACGGAGACACGGGAATTATTGGGAAATGAATCATTCGGACATCATCTATTTTGTAAGCACGGTGTTGCAGACCTGGAAATCGCTGCGGCACTTAATATACCACCCGATAGGAAGCTCATAGTATGTATCGTGCGCGTTGGCAGCGGGTGGGAAACTGGGGGCGGGGTTGACACCTTGATGTGGCGCCATTTCTGAGTATACATAGATAGAGGCGAGTAGATCTCGAGTCCCTATGAACTTGTTGTGTAAATGTTACCGTGGCGAGAAGCAGTTGGGCTAAATATACTCACTTCAAAATCTTTTGCTATATTAAAATCCTTTTTCTAGATCTTTCTGGATTCAGCGGTGCATACATATAATGTGCTCACCATACAATTGCGGGATTCTTGTTGTTTTCGACCAAGGTATGTCGCTGTCAACGTATATACCATTTATTACACATTCATTTGAATGAGTTCGAGAGTTAAATTAGCCCCACTCGCTCACGACACTTAGAGCACTCTAAGCGGGAAATTTTTTCACAGAATATGACCGTTTTTGAATCATAAAACAAGTTATAGCCACCAAGAAACGAGAACTGGGAACAATACTGTGGCACGTGATCAATGTGGCACTTGGGCGCTTTTTCTGGGATCTCGCGCTGACGACCGTAGTGTACCGCTGCACCTCTCGGGTTTGACGATCATCCTCTCCTCGTTTGCTCGGAATATAATATCCGATCAAGCCGTAGGAACGTACTTCTCCGTGAGCCTACAAACTACTAGTCTAGTACGTTTTTTAAATTTGAGTGACAACTCGTGCTGAAGTCAAGACAGACATTGAATGCTCACGACCCACGCCAGGCCGACAACGAGCATATACCGGCAAAGACAGTCGTTTCACGATATCATTATCAAGTTTACTCCTATTTTACCCGTATGTTGGATGCCATTTTGACCAATTTTTGTGATTGGTGAGTCTTTTGTTTCTGCCTTATTCTCAGAGGCATGTGGTAGTGGTGACTTATTACATTACTACCCTGCGATGCCTACTCTGTCCTGCTTGATCGTGGTGCACGCTACAGCATTGAGGATGTTGACCATCGTTCAGTGCGCTTGGTTCATCGGACAGTCGAACAAAGGCGCCTTGATAGTACTCTGGCGAATATTTGCGGTGCAACCGACAGTTTGTTTAAGTTGATCGCTGACTATTTATTCAGCTAGGACATTATACAACGCGAAAGAGAACATTGCTGTAGCTATATCAAGATATGCCAGTCTTACGACCACGCAAATTAAAGCCTGAAACGGTATTGTGATACTTCTCCTATAGTTGAACCTTCACGGTTCTTATATTTTTCTTTTTTACAGGCCCCTACCTCAACTGCGGGACCGAGCCAATCTCTTCGTCCACGGAAGCATCTATCAAAGGTAAGTCATGTAAGTCTATCTTGCTTCAGGTGCTGGAAGAAAAATCCATACAGATTCCAGGCGGTATACCTGACATCAACAAACGTTCCCGTAGACGCAAAGGGGATGAAACATTCTCCCCTGTTATGTACCCAAGTCCCAGGATTCCTCTCGAATTGTGGACAATGGTGTTCAGAGAGTTGGAGAAGTATTCTGACTTGGCGAATGCCAGCCGTCTATGCCGTATCTTGCAAGCGGAAGCGGAGTCTGTTCTATACCGCGAGGTCGTCTTGGAACGCGTCCCTCATGTTCGGCGATTCGCGCGTGCCCTGGCTTCGAATCCTCATCGCGCGAATGCCGTTCGCGTCCTGTACATGTTCGATAATGGCCATTTTAAGAATGTCCCGGATATCATCAACAGGATCCTCGAGTCAGTGAAGAATTTGAAACACCTACAGATATACGTCCATTTTGACCAGGAAGAATCTCTCCTCAGCGATCTCCATGAACAGTTGAAGAAGTGTACTTTCGAACTTCAGCGGTTTGGCTCTAACCTCGACTTCCTACCGGACCTTTTCGAGTTTCTCGCTGGTCAGCCAGGGATCGAGCGGCTGAGCTCGAAGCCGGGATCTTGGTGTGAGTCAAAAGCCGAGATGCCCGCTGAATTTCTACCTCGTCTCAAGATTCTGAGCGCCAACATGACGGCCATGCCGGTATTTGTGCATGCACGGAATGTCACCCATCTAGACATTTTCCTATCGGATCAGGACACAGTCGACCGTGCCCTAAGGATATTCGGCGATCAGCTAGTCAGTTTGAAGCTCACTCGTCTGGTGGAACTTCGTAGCCAGGCCTTCCCAATTGACCTATTCCGCAATGTGGTTGCGCCCGTACGATATCTTGAAATTGCGGACCTCACACTCATGGTAAGTCTCCGACTCAGAAGCATCGTCGAGAGTCCGTCGTTAACATATCTAAACAGGTTCCTTATGTGGCGCCTTCCCAAACGATCGACTATTCGTACATAAATCAGCCAGGGGTCAAGTTGCAGCGCTTTATATGGATGCCCGACTGGGTACATCCGCACCATACCGACAGCCCGTTCATGACAATTGAAGAACGTCAGGCCGCTGCTCGCCGTTTCGCGCAGGGAATTTTAGAGGCTTGCAAAGACTCAATCCAGGAATTTATCTACCTACAGGACTGTCACTCATACATACAGTGCTCGCTGGATGAGAATGGTCAGCTTGTTGAGACGGAGAGGCCGGAAGCCACGATCGAGAAATGGTACGAAGTATCATAGGAGCTTGTAGACGAATGCAAGGAGGACGATGGGATTATTTGGACAATAAGATCGTCCCAAAATTGTATGTTACCGTGCAGACCATGCAAGTTGGCTTATTAAAGTATTTCTTGAATTAGTAAGGGATGTTCTTTGAGCGTTACGGAGGGACTGCTTAAAGCCTGATCAGAAGTGCCAACTGGCGTCAAGGGGGAGCCGAGTTCGGGTGAATCGATGATCGTGGGTTGGTAATGCAGACGAGGATATAAGCACAAGTCGGAAGTTCTCAAAGGCGAAGGACAATCCGTTCGTCACCCTCGTCAACTCTCGCGACCGATCGACCATGTCGTCGTCCACATTCTTCAAAGCAGGAGATGGAAGCTCTCTCCACTACGAAACCTCTTTGCCCCCAGCGTCGGCTACATCATCGAAACCTACGCTTGTATTGTTGCACTACTGGGGTGGTTCGATCCGCACGTGGCACAAGGTCATCGCTCCCTTGAAGTCTACTTACCCAATACTCGCCGTCGATTTACCCGGATGGGGCGCATCATCTCTCCCCGGCGGGGAAGATGTCAAGCTTACTATAGCATCCACGGCGAAGTCGATTATGACGCTTCTCATGAGCTTACCTTACGAATTCAGCGCACTCGGATTTGTACTCACTGGTCATTCCATGGGCTCAAAAGTCTGCATGGCGCTTCTTGAGGCCGCCCACGACGCGGGGCAACCCCTGACAATCAGAGGCATGGTCCTTATCGCGCCAGCGCCACCGTCCCCTCTCGTTCTTCCACTGGAGATGCGCGAACAGCAAAAACACGCGTACGACTCCCCCGAATCCGCTGAGTGGACTGTGAGCAATGTGTTGGCGCGTCGGGAGAACCTGTCCGACGAGGAATTGGCTCTCATTGTCGGAGATAGCGTGCGAGCGGCCAAGGTAGCGAAGGAGGCTTGGCCATTGTACGGAATGGCCGAGTGTATTGATGTGCCGCAAGGTTCCGCGATGGACGTCGTGGTTCTAGCCGGAGCGATGGACATTGTTGAGACGAAGGAGAGAGTCAAGGCGGAGGTCGTCGATGTGTTGCTGAATAAAGGCTATGTGGTCAAGTTTCGTCTGGTGGAGAATGTAAAACATTTGATCCCCCTGGAGGATCCAGAAGCGATTGTTAACGATATTCGTACATACTTTTAGCCGAGATAACTCGCTTCATCTAGCTGTGATGAATTGATACCTGAATGAAAGACAAAATTTCTAGCCTACTATCGGTTTGATTTGTCTGGAAGAAAGTTGGAAGAAAAACGCAGCGTCCATGCACCCAGCCCGAATGTTAACTGAACAATACGATTGAGTGCTCTTAACTCTTACGAGGTCTTCTGACTACATTAATAACCGTAGTGGGGAGTAAATCAATCACCGCCTTGTAAGTTGAAATTACATTCAAGTTAACATCAAAGAAGGATCCATAGTGGCGCGAGTTTCAGTGTGCTGGTCTTGGAATCCGTGAAATCATTCATGAAGGTCTTGGGTTTTCGGGAATTGAAGTCATTATGTCTGTGATCATAGCTGCGAAAAAGACTTACCCTCTCTCTCTATTCTCGGGCCCTGGGAGATGCGTAGCCGAGGCCGGGAGTGATACTCGGATTTGTTGTTAGCACAATGATTCATCCAAGTAATAGAGAACTGATATATAGCGTCGCAGCGACTGTGGGAAAGCCCATCAAGCACCAATAGTGCTTGTGTTGTCGCGTCACCCATGGTTGCACAAGTTCGAGCCTTCAACTTGAAATTGGGACTGTAGGCGCACCAACTGCCTGATTGTCACCCGACAAACTTTCCCACAGACAGAGGCCAGGCCTACACGAGAACGATGAATCACTGGGTCAACAGAGAAAGGGTGTAGTGAACGGTAGATGATACAATCAGTATAATATTATTCTGAGCGAGATCCAATCATGTCCATTACATGAGCACGCGCAGTAGAATACAAGCATCGACCATTACGAACGATATAATATCGCCGCGGTAGAGTATCACTATATGTACATACCCACGAGCGAGTCAATACTGTCCCTCACTGAGTCCACAGCGCCGAGGGGTCCAATTGCCCCCGCCAGCGACGCATCACGGACCTGCTCATTGGAAGGACAAGTCGGAGTAGCTAGGTGGCAGCGAGCCTGCCTCGGAGCGCACCGACTCCGCAGTTGGATACGACGGGTACCCCCCAGTGTTCTGCACATGCTGCACGCCAACAGTTGGCGGCGGGAATGGTGGTGCAGCATAGGCCGTCCCCATTTGCATCGGTGCGGTTGCCGGAGCCATGCGCGGCGCTTGGTTGTATACCGGGAACTGGGCCGCAGTAGGCGTCGACGAGACACTTCCATTACCGTAAGCGGGGGCCGTCCGTGGAGGGTACTGAGCGGTAAAAGGGGATTGAGGTGGGCTTGAAACGGGTGGCGCAGGCGGAGGTGGGATGGGGGGCGGCGTGGCGCTGGTGACAGGGACAGACGGGTTGTACGTAGGTCGGAAAGGCGGTCGGGTGTCGGAGGGGGAAGGGAAAGGATTTGGGAAACCGGTAGGGCTTGGTATCTGGCGCCCAGGCTCGGTAGGCTGGTAGGAAGGTTGCTCTGTCATCGAGTATGCAGACTCCAAGTCCGCACGCGGTTGTGGTCGATGCGTCGGAGCAGTTGCTGGCGGCCGCGATTGTGCCTTGCGAGGAACAGGAACGAATAGGGTTGGATCGCTGGCGTAACCCACAGCGCGCCCACTGGCGTCCCATTGTTGGTGTCCGACATCACCAAATGTGTTGCCTTGTGCAGTCAACGGAATCTCAGCCTCAGAGGCATTGGGGTTGAACGAGTCAAGTGGATTGGATCGCAGCATAGCGCTACTTCCGTACGCTGCTTCCATGAGCTTCGCCTGGCTGTTGATCAACAAGATAAGAATTTATGCTTGTCTGATGCAGCAAAGATACGCACCGAGCTTTCCGCCGCTCATAGATAACTGCTGGCTTGGCCTTGTTCATCTTGCTAAAAATATACCACATCGCTACAAATGTGATAACCACCGTGACTCCGAGCACTATATCCTTCACAACATTGTCAGCATTTCCACCTAATCAGAGAGATGTAAGTTTATTGAATTGGCGCTTGAGTGTACAGCTATCACACACCATTTTTTTGGGATTGCTCTAGTGCAACACCGAGGTAGACCGTCATAAACTGCTTCGGTGTTGAGAGGACGGCGGCAATCATGAACGTCCAGATACTCATACCGCATGTGGAGAACACTGCGGTAGTGACTGGATGGCATGATGTTTAGAACAGCTATACACGATCGATGACGTCACATACAGTGTCCAGGAATCGCACTCAAACGTGCAATCAGCGCAATCTTAAAGCCACCCTCACGCACTACCTTGGCCAGGCATGCATAGGTGAGCTTCGTACGTTCGAGCTTTGTACCACGCGCAGAACAACAATGTTTAAAAGCGCTGAGAGCAAGTATGAGCGATTTGCCAAGCCATCTACATCGAATGAACTCACTAGAAGTTACCGACTTCACCAAGGAACGTTCCAGCAGCCACAATCGCAAAGCCAACCCAAAGGCCCCATACCAGTCCACACAGGATACCCACAATTTCATGGCCGAATAGCTAGCCAACAAGAACATGAGATCACAGGGACCTATGCTCAATACGCAGACGTACCGGAGGAAATGAGATCACGAACAGGATTGCGATAGGAATCAGCCAACCGAAGCGAATTCTGTAATTAAAATACAGTCAGATGAAGCCAAAACATGGCGTTGAAGTCGATAGCCCGGAACCCTCCAACTATGCAGCATATTCGCACCCGCAGACATCATGTGTGGCCCCTTCATGGTTGCATAAAGACAAAAACAACGAACGGGATGCTCCGGCCGCTATGCGCGCAAAAAATAAAATAAAAAGGAAACTCTGAGACCCACCTATGCATCCAATTTGCAGCCGGCTGAAGCCATGTCACGATCTGGTCGTGAAACACCGTGAACAAGATAACAAGGACTAGGCCGATGAAGACGGCAACGTAGTACCCTACACGCATGATTAGCACACGCAATGTTCACATGGCATAAATTGTGCACGCACAGGCCCACTCCTTGCGGATCCAATACTTCCAATTCATCATTGCCTTCCAGTCGATGACGGAGGTTTTACGGAGTTCCTCTGCCTCGCTTGGAGTTGGGCTCGGGGTACGCATAAGATCGCGCATATCGACGACAGAGTCCCCATTCTTCTTGGTTGGTGCTACGGTGGCATCGTCATCGCTACCGAGGGAAGTTCGGCTAGGATCATAGCGAGCAGCTGGAGGATAGGACTGCTGCTGTGCAGAAGAGCTAGCAGGGACGTAAGGGATGTTGCTGGGTGATGTGTGGCCACTGTTGTAGGCCGAATATGAGGCCATGATAACCTGTTGCTCCGCTAGGGATACCACCGGCTAATGACCGGGCGAGGAAGGTAGAAGAATACGACTTAGGGATTAGCTGAAATACAATTTGGACGATGCGGTCGGTAGAGAAATATAGAGAGGACAGAGGGTGTTTAAAAAGAGAAAGGTGAGTAGAGGGAGAGAAACGGATGCGAGGCGTGGTTGGCTTGGCTTGCAGCATTTCCGTTTCTGCAGAGCCGGCACTGCTTCAGGTTCGCACGCCCTCCGGCGTCCTCGACCCGCTGATGTCCTCCTCATTTGTGCATGTTTTTCCTTTTTCGCCACGCAGCACCCCTTGGCTGCACTGGTCGCTGTCCGACGATCATTCTTCTCTTGTTTTTGTCTAGCAATGACTTTCAGCCGTACCCTTCAGCTTTATGTAAATCAGCCTAAGTACGTACGAATCGACTGCGCACAACGCAGTGCTAGTACCGCTTTCAGCAACTCTTCGGATTTTGGGTATGTCTGTCCATTGTCCATTCTTTGAACGTAATTTTCAGGCCGTCTCCCGGTGGCTGCGCATTACATGGATTGACAACAGCCGCGAGGCTTCCCTAGCTTCCCTGTTGTCTACTTTGTCTATTTTCAGTTGACTGCGCACGGTTTACCGTGAGAATCTGGCTGTGCATCCTATGTATTTCCAGCCTGTGCGAAATTGTATCACTGTGCCTCTAGCACGATTAAAAGTATACATCTTTCTTCTGATCGCTTTCGTAAAGTCATCGGAGCCGGGAGGAGTCGCCACTGTGCCAGAAAGTACCAGCCCTTTCTGTCAGCCCGACGTACGTGAATATCGCGTCTCTCTGTATAGTTCTCGAACTCGAGTGCGCGAACTTATTATGTGGCTGTCAGACACAGAGCATGAGAAATGTACTCGACATGACAGAAGATTTGTATCGCCTTCATCTTACGCGGTTACATCCGATAGCCTCGTCGTTTGCAAGCACCCTTACAACCACCCCTAGATCAATCGGTGCTGACGAACCACGGACATGCGAATGGCCCATTTTCAGACAGATTCAGACCATTCCTGGCTCTTTCCCTTGTGTGCAGAGCTGTTATTATTCTCTGATCGGCGAAAAAACTCCGTATTGGATATTGATCATGCTCCTGAAGATGGCCCATTCGGAGGGAGGAGCAATTCGACGATTCGGCGTCACTCTTGTTCATACGCTGGGATCTCAATCATCGTGGACGAAGATGGTCGACTCCGGATCATCGACTGGGTGTGGTCGGGCATATCCGCCCTGGTTTGAGTACATCGCAATGCTGAGGCATGCGAATAATGGGTATACTAACCATTGAGCTTTGGGAGTGGTTGATTCCTTTCGTTTGTCTACTTCTGAGTCAAGCAAGAGAAGTGGCTGTCGGAAATGCAGCAGAACTTTCGTTACGCGGTGTAGCTGGCCATGGTCGATGAATGTTTCAAAATTCAGCTTACTGGGGCTTGGCTGCGGAAAACGAGCCTTTGGACCTAGCAAAGCTATAAATGCAACTATGTGAGTCAATTCAAGCGTACGTTTCCATAGTCACCGACATATATGATCTAGATCTTATTGAAAGACAAAGAAGACCGTGTATGATAGCACATTGAATGGGTCTTGTATCTGTTCCTGTACATTGTGATAAATATCATGGACAAAATCGAGTCAAATTGACTATTTCCTGAGTAAAAGTTTCGATGTATTGCGCGAACTGCTCTCCTTAACGATAAAGCAGTTATAACAGCCATCGAATATGATGGTACAAGAATTGAGGGAGTCGTCAGACATCATGAAAGGGCGCTGATACTTCCCTGGATACTGAAGTCAGCTTGTGCTGTTTTTCTGCCCCGACTTGTGCGATACGGTGGTGGAAATGTCTGAAGACATGTACAACGTCTGACCATTGCGAGCGCATCACGTTAAGGGGACATGGGAATGTCCCGTTTATCAATCACTAAATTAAGGGTCCCAAGTCGGGCCAGATTTTTCAAAGTACATAGCACAAGATTTATGTCGCCTTCATTGGCTACTACTTAATGCATCTGGCATCAGCTTCACCGTACACCGAACTCGTGAATCACAAATACCCTCGAAGATGCTGCATCCCAAATCTTGGAACGTTTAAGAAACACGTTACAGGTCCAATTCGAAATTATCGAAACAGAGACAGATATCACAGTTACATAGCCGGAAGAACTTGAGGACATTAACGCACAAAGTACACTATATGAACATATTCAACTATCTGTACAAGGGTCCACGTCCGACATCACAAGCCCTCCGTGAATCGGCTCTCAGCAGGAGCACCTGGGTGTGTATCCCCAATATCCTCCGAGTCAGTATGTTCGTGATCTTCCTCTGGGGCGGCGTGAGGAACTCGGCCTTCGGGCGCTTTATCCTGTTGCCGCCTGCTGGGCTTGCGGGCGATATCAGCGCCTTCGTCGAGTATACCGTTCTCATCGCCGTTCCTCCGGGGCTTTTTGTCCGCCTATAATAAGCCGATCTTTAAGTCCATTGCGTTCCGTTATGCTACGACACCGCGGTCAGCGCACCGTATATCCATCCGCTCCGTATTCCGCATCTCGCGCCTTATGCGGGTATCCAGGGGGCCCACCCTCCTCTTCCTCCTCCCCCTCCCCCATTTCCGGTGCCTGCTCATATACCTCCTCGTCCTCCTGCTCCTCCTCTACGCTCGATCCCTCTTCTTCTTCCTCCTCCTCTTCACTCGCATAACCTGCTGCGCGTACGGCTGCGGCAACTGGTCCACTGCGTTCCATCTGTTCACTCGCAACCAGGTAGCGTGCGCATAACATCCGGACGTCGTTCCACCACTCCATCATATCTTCATGAGAGCGACCCCGGAACGTCCACGCCCGTCCGCTACCTCCAGCGCCACGACCGGTGAACGAACTCGTCAAGCCGCGCAGCGAGCCCGTGCGCACAGTACCTGTGCCATCCTTACGCTCCTCGATGTGGAATTTGTGGCTCTTCACTGAGGGTGAGCTTGGTGGTCCGAGGGTACACATTGGGAGGAAGAGGCTGTAAGAAGGCTTGTCCGCCAGAGCAGGGTCGGAAGACGAGTATTCGTGCAGGAAGCCTGCAGGAGTAAGGACATAATAGCCTTCGCGATAAGTGCGCGTGTAACGCTTCTTCCGCTCCAGAAGTCCAGTGTGAACAGCAATAACAGAAGGATCCTCTTTTGATGGGTAATTGATATTCTGCGGATCTCGCAAAGGGGTCTCTGGGTCCACGAGATGGTCCTCGCGTGCGGCAAACGCAATCCACTCGCGGTCCGGGGGCAGCGCAGCCATATCCCGCTCGAGCGTATTCCAAGTGTCTCGGAGATTGTTGTCCATACGAGTACGCCATTCGGCAAAAGTCGCCCAAGCTGACTGTAGTGCCTGGATGAGAGATGCTTCGAAGACAGCAGAGGAAGACTGGGTGAGTAGAAGCGACTTCTGTAGAGCATTCTCGGTGTGAACCTGCTTGAGAAGCTGGCGAGAGACGGACTGGTTTGCAACATATGGGTCGGACTTTGCGGTAACACTCAGAGGTGTGTTCTTGAGGATAGATATGTCCGTTCCTAAGTCACCGATGAGCTTTGCGGATAATTCACGTTCCTTTGCGACAGCCGTAGCGAGCTTTCCGGTATCGTTTTGAATATTCTATGTACCCCTCGTCAGGGACATATACATACATGATACATACATAAAGCATACCTTGATGTGAGCCTTGATCTCCACGCGTAATTTCTGGAGATGCTGAACAATGGAGCCATCTACAGTACGACCAAGGTTTGCGTGCTGGTCTGCAATAGCACGAGTCTTGTCTCTAATGCCATAATATATGTCCTAGAAGTATATGTTAGCTTAGGCAGCCACGCTATCGCACTATGACGCACTTGTAATCCACCCTCTCCTAAAAACTGATTGCCAGAGCGGAAAGGGACCTGGACGACGCCGGCCAGTTTGGTCATTTCCCTCGCGACATTGTTCTCGATATCCGCAATGCCCTCGAAATAGGCGATGAGCTGCTTGACAATGATCTTCCAAGCTGTAAAACGTTCGATAAGAATGTCGGAGGGGCGGAGGTCGTGAGGGGCAATGGACTTTTTGATGAGCGACTGGCTGCGGGACACAGAGGAGCCATGCTTGCTGCCACGCGACACAGAGGTCGCACGAGAGATAGAGACGGAGTCGTTGTTCATGGCGGCGACGAGAGAGAGGAAAGGGTGGGTGTGCGGAAAGCAAAGGGGCTGCAAGCCACGCTATATGAGCGGAGCCCAGTAGTTGCTGAGCGAGGAACGCGGGCACATGTTTCCAACGCCTCCAACGTCCAAGACTCAACGCGAATCGCCCGCGTCTGACGTCACCGTCCCTCTTTCGGCAATTTCTCCGCACACATAGCACTTGTTTAGACATAGCCCACAGCACTCGTGTGATTAATGCGAGACATTCGCTGCACGGCACAGAAAGATAACAGCAAGTCTATTCTACTTTGTAACCAATCAAACTCCTTCGGCCGACGATTTCTCCAATCTGCATTCACGACCAGTCGGGGAAGGAATTTAGGCGGGAGACAAGTACAGTCAGTAAAAATCTGCGGTAGACAAGAAATGGCGTACCTTGAAGATACCATACGCTTCGACTGCGTATATGCCGACTTTTGCCCAGTCGCCTGACCGCACGAGTTCACGCCAGTAGGCCGGATTGCTCGCGCGCGACCAGAGTGTCGAGTACGCGCTCGTGACGGTCGACATAGACGTTGGTGGCTGCAAACGCTCAGCGACGTAAACCTGTTTCAGGAACTCGCGCGCGACAGAGAAGTTGTACGTGAGAGGTTGGCGGTAAGCTGTGGAAAATGTGGAGGGTATCAGCATCAACCAAACGTCTTGGAGAACAGTATAGCGGGTCGCTAAGCGTGCACATAATACAGATAATGCGGCAAGCTTGTTGGAGGCCTGAAAACCCGAGTGACACGAGACAGCACACGCACCTCCGAGCATGTTCCCTGCTTTCTCCCCAACAGGCCCCAACACCTTCTTGCCCATCTCGACAGCCTCGCCTAGACGCTTCTGCACAATGGCCATCGCATCTTGGGCCCTTTTCTGCGCCTCCGCCGAGTTCAAGTTCCCGCCAGGCGTGCCCGAGGCGAACCGTTGCTGTTGTGCACCAGGGACGCGGCGCGGGCGCAAGGCTTGCGCAAGTTGAAATCGAGAGGCGGGTGATATGCGCGCCATCGTGGTCTCTGTGCACCGATTAACTAGGCTCTACGTGCAATACGAAGTGAGTGGGTATGGGTTTGGACAACGACGGAGTCCCGGGCGTGGGCGGTGGTGACGAGAATTGCGCTGTCCGTGCCGGGAAGAGACGGAGGGCGCCCGACTCGGGGCATCCGGCGCGTTCGGCGCATTTCCGCAGTGAGGCGGCCGGCCGGGGTGGCGGGAACACGGGAGAGCCGTGAGGGTCATCGCGATCGGCCGGGCAGCTTATCTTATCCGATTCACAACCCGTCTCCTCTGCTACTCAATGTAGGAGCACTGTCCAGCCTGCTCTCGACCTTTATCTTTGCTCTTGATTCTCGTTGCCGAGCGCCTGTGCGGAGGTGGTCCATATATTTCAGACACTGCTCCATCTTGCTTTTCGTACATCTCTCATAGCCCACGTCCTAACCCATAGTCCATCGAGAGACTATAGGAGTCTGCTTGAATCTTAAAGATATCCAAACCATGTCTACCTCTACCGAGTCGTATCTCTCGCATGCCCGTTACGGGAAGGATAAAGTGCGCGTGTTCCGCGTTGTACGCGAAGGAAAGTGGCACCACGTCGTCGAATACAATGTCACTGCGCTCTTGGAAGGAGCGATCGACATCAGGTATGTCCGTCTTTCCTCCCGTCGAGATGATCGGGGTGAGTGGTAGCGCGGTGGGCGGCTCCCCATCGACGGTGGTTGTTCGATTATGAAGGGATAGTCGCGGGATGTGCATTCGTCGTGTTTGTGGACGTGCTTACGCATATGCTTCTGGCAGCTATACAAAGGCGGATAACTCGGTTGTGGTAGCCACCGATTCAAGTACGTACACCAATCTCTGCACCTCCTTATCTCCATGCCTGTTCACTGACACACGGTCATCTCTTCGTCAGTTAAAAACATCACATACTGTGTGTGCTCCCTCACCCCTCTCATGCCAGTTTGAATGTCTCACACTGCCCACCGCGTGCGTTCGCAGACCTCGCCAAGATCTCGCCGCATGTTTTGTATCCCGAGCGCTTCGCCATTCACCTTGGGACGCATCTCGTCTCGAAGTATGCTCACATAAACAAGGCATTCATTAAGATTGAAAAGCTGCGATGGGCACGCATTCCGATCAAAACGGGAGTCGAGGGGCAAGAGGAGATCAAGCTCCACCCGCACTCGTTTTACCGTGATGGTGAGGATAAGCGCTTCACGAGTGTTGAGGTGAGTGGGGTGGGTGTGAGAGCGAATGGAGCCGATCTAACTTGTGGTTGGAAGATTGATGCGACAGAGGACAAAGATAACATTAGAGCGAAAGTCACTTCTGGTATTACCGATCTGCTGGGTAAGCCTTCCTCCCGGGCACACTTACGGTTGCATATATTCGCCTCGTATCTTATTCACATTTACCGCAGTGCTGAAGTCTACCGGCTCGGCTTTCGAGTCGTTCATCCGCGACGAATACACCACACTCGTTGAGGTAGACGATCGGATCTTCAGCACGTCGATCGACTTGTCGTACGTTTATAAGCCATTCAATGTCTCCGCGCCCTTGGACGAGAAGAAGCTCGTCGTGAATATTGAAGGCAAGGACGCGGAGGTGGGGACGCCATGGGATGGTGAGACGGTGTCTGATAGTGCGAGGAAGATCACGCTAGATGTCTTTGCGGAAGACGAGAGTGCAAGTGTCCAGGTGCGTTGGTGTAGTGGCCCAATTCGAGTGTACCGAGAAACGAAACTCAACAGCTCTGGTATATATGCAGGCGACGCTATACAAGATGGCGCAGCAAATACTAGCGCAGAATCCGTATGTCGAGAGCGCGACGTACGCTCTGCCGAACAAGCACTATGTCCCGGTGGACATGCGGTATATTGGGGTGGATAACATGTCACCGTTGAGTATTTGTTTTGCCTTTTTCTTTCTTATCGGCATCTCTCGTCTTCGGTGACTCTGTTCGATCTTGATCTCGTGGGATGAGACACCATCAATGGGGGGGCTTATGGCATTGGCGCTATCCCCGGTTGTGTCGGAGGGATCTGTTCGACGGCGATGAGAAGCACCCGAGTCGTCGCTGGCGAGCAGATCTCCGCGGAGGAGGACGGCGCGGACATGACGCATGCAGCACGAGTACGTACAACGCACTTGGCGTGTCGTCTGTGGTCGGATATCAAACGACGGATGGCGACGGGGGTTGCGATGCTTGTGCCAGCGCGCGGTTATTGAACGACGTGATGTGATGATGGTGTCTGTCAGGGAGAGGGCGGACGGCCCACGGGACGAGGCATCCGCGCTAGCTATTGTGCTATGCCCACTAGGGCAGTGCAGAAGAGGGCGACAGATGCGCAAATGCGTTGAGGGTAGGAAGGTCGAGCACATGACGGAGAAAGTGGGGGGCCGGAGGAAATGGCGGCGAGCTTCGAGATCGTTATCTGGGACGAGTGCGTCCGGGGTGCTGCCAGGATCTCTGGGGCACGATGTGATTGGGCGGCACGGGAGAGGTGTGAGACGGGGGACTGATTCGCATGGACAATTATGCGGGGTGCTAGAAGACGAGCGGGACCTGGTGGTTGTCAGAGTGGGTGAAAGCGGGGGACATTTTTTATATCCTCGCTGGCGGATGGGATGCGAGTGCGACGAGACTGACCCGAGACATGTTTCTCGTAGGGCAAAGGCGGAGGTGTTTGTGCCCCTCACGGCCCCGAGGTGAGTGCGCAGGCCCCCGAGGCGCACATGGAACCAAGCTAAAGTGACGTGACCGTGACAGCGGACTGATCTCAGCAACCATCTCACGCAAGTGACGATGACGTCACCGCTCCACAACGCCAGTCTACTCCGCAGCAGCCGTTTCTGGGGGCGCTGACTGTGGGTTGGGAGACCGCGCGCGAGCGAGCGATTCCTCGCTGCTCAGCTTGCACGCGGCGCAGGCTTCCAGGCTGGCGGAGTTGCAATGCATGTATTTCTATGGCGTATACAAATAAAGAGCGTGACAGGCGAATGCGTGAAACGCCGCGGCGTGACGGGCGATAGGGCGATGACGTCAGGGGAAGGGTCACCCGTCGGCGTCTTTATGGCCTCTGTCGGGCTCTGTCCCTCTTCGCTTTCCTTCTCTCCACCAGTCCACCAGCACTGTCCTCCACTCGCCCTCGCTGCCATGGCCGGCGACCACAAGGTCCGTCTCGTCGTCCGCGACCTCCCCCTCGTTCCCAACGCTCACCGCTCCTCCGTCTACAGTGTCCCGTATGTCAGTCAACGTTCACCCGCCCTCAGCATGTCGCAAGACATATGCGTTCCCGTAAGTTTGCTCCATCCCTCTCCACCTTAACCTCTCCTCCAACACAACATCTCTCCCGCCGTGGAGTGCTTCCGATTGCCCACCCCGCCTTTGTCTGACTCATCACTGTCCCGTGCCGACTGCTGATCATTGTCTCTCAGACACCGGCGATCGGCCGTATAAATGCCAACATTGTGGAGACCAGTTTGCGCGAAGGTTTGTTGTTGCCTCGCTGTCCAGCTTTTCAACATGCTCACTTAGCGTTGACTCTCAGCGATCTGCTCTCGCGACATGTCAATAAATGCCATGCAGCAGAGAAACCACCCACCACTACTGCTCCTAATCGTCGTAAAGGCTCTGCTGCTGCTTCCCGCGCAACGACTTCAAAGCAAGCTTGTGACCAATGTGTCCAATCAAGTCTTCCTTGTGATGGAGCAAACCCGTGCTGTTAGCATCTTTATTTCACGTGCCGTGCATGAGTTTTTATTGATTTCCGCACCCTCTCGTTCACAGCCAAGTGCTTGCAGCGGAAGTGCCGGTGCACCTATGTCAAGTTCCACCGTCAAACTGCCCCCGCAGGTCCAGGACATCCTGTTCCCACCCAGTCCAATCAATCTGGTCGACATGGTCTTACCCAGGGTTCCTCTCGTCTTCCTGACGACTTTATTCTCCCCTCCCCGCAGGGCTCATTCGGCTTCCCTTCCCTTTATCCCCCCAACACTAATTCCAACGCAGAGTTCGCGATGCCCCAAGCTTCAGCCACAATGTATCCCCACGGGTATCCTAACACAGCGCTTGATCCCCGTGAATCTGCCGCTGCTCTCGCGATATCTGCCAACACCCGCGATTCTTTAAACGACTCACCCGATGCTTTGGCTAGATATCGTGCCCAGGCTGAGCTCCTCTCTCGCGCCGGGGTGCTTCCCAATGGCTCCCTCGCAGTCGGCGCTCCTGCTCATCCTGCTGAAGGCGTCATACCCGCCCACACGTTATACGGCGATCCGCAGGCGCAGGCGCATTTCAATCGCTATTCAATCTCCATGCCAGCGAATACCTCTTGGGCACAATCGCATGACACCCATCAGCAGCAGTCGTTTCATGCCGTGGATGCCCAGCGCAAGGAGTACGAGTCGGCCTATGCAACCTCGAGGCAGTCCTTTCCTGTGCGAGAGGGAGGACCAGTCACAGGTGCAGGTGAACCAACACTTCAGACCCATCCTCCCACACATGGTGCATCATTTCCGCCCGTATCCTCCTCAAATGGAAGCAGCTACCACGTCCAAGGTCTCGCCTTCCACCGAGCAGAAGACCTAAGCGATGATTTTGGCAGCGACGGAGGTAGTACTAATCACTCACGTTCAATACCCGGAAGCGCCAACTCGAGTCAGGTCCATCTTCCATCACCAGATACCCACAACCAGAACATGCGACAAAGCACATATAGCCTCCCTGGCTTTACACATTTGGAATCCATGCAGAACATGCAGAATGGAAATCCGCCTTCCCAGAACCATAATGATAGCACGAATAAGCACGAATACGGAAGCAGTGTGTTCGGAAATGATTCCCAGGGTGAGGGAGGCTTCTCATCCGCGTTCGGACTCATGTCGCTCGATGACCCAAACGTTCTGGCTGGGTTCTCCGCAGATTCCGCTCCCTTTTTTTCCCACCTATCGTCGCAGCCGGGTTCTCAATCGAACCAACATGGTTCCATGAGTAGCCTGAGTTTTCCTACTCCTACGCAGGATCTGATCGCGGCGATGAAAACGGGAAAGAGCGATATGGACTCGAAGGAAATGCGAGACTTTTGGAAGATGTACGTTCGCACACCTCTTAGTGGACCTGGGGGTGCAAACGCGCTTTCGCTTGTAACCCCCACGGGTACGGGCCAAATATTGGGCCGCCCATCACCTTCACGACGTCATTCGAGGGTTGCATCGCTTCCGAGTATGAAGACCCCGCCGCTGAACGGGGATGCTCTCACCGGACCGTACCCGCCCTCGACTCGTCACAATATTAATGCCGGTCACCAAGCGTCGCACGGGGAACCTGGGCGAGAAAAGCTTGAAGATGGAGATAATGCGTTCTCGTCGATGCGCACTACACTATACGACGCAGATGACCTGAAAAGCTATGAGCAAGCAGTTTTGGCGCGAAAAACGTCCATTAATCTGAATCTCGTACCGAAGCGCAGAGGCACTATGCCAGGGGGAACAACCATTCCGAGTGAGCTGCAACATTCGGGGCAGAATCAAAATGTGCACACGAGTAAAAGCGCCAGCCCGGTTGTCCCTCACCTGCCTCCCCCTTCTTCCTATGTGCCGAATAAAATCCCAGATCTTTTAAACCGGCCCTCATCCACGGCATCCAATTCCTCGTCTTTGGCACACGCGTTCGGTAATACTGATCACAGTGGACAGGTGCAGCCACAATCGCGCCCATCATCGCAAAGTGGCCCCCAGACATTTCGTCCTCCCTCGGTCGAGTCCAGTACAGTCATTGGGAGCGAAATTGGGACCGATTCTGATTCGTTATACCGGCCGTCGTTCAAGCGTCTCGCATCCCAGACTCTAGGACCTGAAAACACCAAACGGGCACTCCTCGGCCCTGCTGGTTGGGATGATGATGCCGTAGATGATGATGACGATGACGATGCGGAATTCACCATGAGGCGATCTGTCTCGGAGGCGGACCCCAGCACTGGAAACATCAAGTATGGTGGTGTTGCAGACCGCCCGATTGTTGGTTTATCGGATCGCCATCGTCGCTCGAGCTATCCCAGTGCGAGTGCGCCAATAACGCAGGGCAGTACGTCTATGCAGCCTCTCGTCCGAGGTGCGGAAGCGGCGTTGGGCACATAAGCGCGTGGCCTGGGTTATCCGGGTTCCCGGGAAGTGGCCGTGAGGTCCTGAAGCCCCGGTTTCGCGCGCGGATGGCCATTCACGATGTCCATGTGCGGCGTTCGGTGGTTATTGTAATGTTCTTCTAATGGCGTCTTTCAAGATGTCGGCGTGCGGACGTTTTTGTGTTGGCGATGCACGTCGAACTTTGTTTAGTATACCATACTGATACCTATTCATTCACAACCGCAGCCATATGCGGTGGAAATGTTTGTCGTTGTCTCACGAGCTATGCTTTGAGCATCCTTTGCATGTATTGCTGCCCATGTGTTTGGTCCTTTTCACATTCCCCGACTTTTGCTTGTTAGGTGATTGAATGCGCCCTTGATGTATAATTAGTAGCCATATGTACGAACAGAAGCTTGCTAGAGTGTGCATGATTGTGATACTGTAGTGACAAGTGCATATCATAGCTAACTGTGAGCACCTCAAGAATTCGGATTTGATCAGATGCAATCTTCATCAAAAGCCTCCTTGAACATATCATCGAATTGTGATGCTTATCATCGGTAATGTTTCGGGACCGTCGATGCGGCTGAAGCGGAGCTTACAGTACACCAAGCTCCATTACGATTTCACTACCGCTTCACATAAATGGTTGAAGAACATTGATACACCTTGCATAGTATACAACTCTACGATGCACATGGCGTCGCCTTGTTTGACTCAAATCAGTGCCGGGGTCACAGTGATTCACCATGCACGGTGTCCACCATCAACAATGATGCTATGGGTGAATAATCAGCACCTACGATGGGAATGGACGTCGAAGAATACACACTCGCTTCCCGTACAGTAGGTACTTGCGTCGCTGGCCAGCCAAGCAACGGCACCCCTGAGCTCGTCCGGGCGACCGAGCCGTCCCGTCGGATTTTGCGCAGACCAATTCTCCAGCAGACCCGGCTGTGAGTCCAGAAATTGTCCAGTAAGGCTGTGAGGGCGACAGAGTGAGCTTATCGTCACGCTTGGATTCCAGATCGCAAATTGGAACAAAAACTAGGGAGGAAATAAACGTACGTAGTGTAAATGTATCCCGGGCTGAGGGTGTTTACACGGATGCGCCGTGAAGCAAGCTCGCATGCCATGCTGCGACCCATTTGGAGGACGGCCGACTTGGAGGTGTTGTACGGTACCCATTTTTGGTGCTGGGGAAGCAGGAGTGGTCAGCCAGCATCGTCGAACGGCCAGGCGGGACGCGCACGAACCATATTGGTGATGCTGCCGCTCATGCTGGCAACGAGGATGATGCTGCCGCCGTTGCCGAAACGCTCCATCTGTCTGCCTGCAGCTTGGGCGGTGTACAAGACGCCATTGACGTTGATTCCCATGACCTATAACAGCGGCATGCGAGTTGAACATGGGTGTTGAGTTAGACTCACGCGTAAGGTGTGTGACATACCTCTGAAAACGTCTCTGCAGGGTATTGTAGGCAGTCGAAGTCCGGCCTGAGTATGCCCGCAGCGGCAATGCAAGTGTCCAGGCGACCCTCCTTCTCACCAATCTGCTCGCCTATCTTCCACATAGCATTCTAGTGATAACAATTTTTGTCAGGATGAGAGCGCTGCGCGCAATACAAATGTCTTGGACAGACCTGGTCGCGCACGTCGGCGGCGATGTACTCGAGACGGCCCTTGCCACTCATGCGTGAGATATACTGCTGCACCTTGTTCCACTCCTCCCCCGGAGTCCTGGGAAGGTCGACACAGTAGACAGCGCGGGAGCCGACTTCTAGGAGCGCCATGGCCATCTCGAGGCCGAGTCCGCGGTTCGCACCTGACACGAGCGCGACACGGTCAGCAAGCGAGAATTCTTTCTCGAGCAGGGTCGACTCGGCAGCTGTCAACGGTGAGAGTCAATTGAGGAAACTAGTGAGCCCAACATATGGTAAGGACGTACGTGCAGAGGATTCGGCGTTCTCGAGAGCAGCGGCAACACCGACAGGCGCGTAGGGCGGTAGCCAGCTTCGCTTTTGCTGTGCATGGACACTTGAGGGAGATTCACGAGAGGAGAGTGTATGCTTAGTGGTAGAAAAGCGTGCAAAGCAGGTAAGAGGGTTGGACGCAGAGAGGCTGGAGCTCTTGACGAGTGGTCGACCAAATCTTGCAATCATTCCGTCGAATCGATTTCGTACAGCTCTGAGCAACTTATTACGCAAAATCCAGGGATAGGTAATGGGTACGGATTTATATACTTGTGCCCGTGCGATAGGGGAGCGGGAGATGTTCGTCGTAGCATCATGGGGTCTGGCTGTGTCCCTGGGAGGTGGTCATGAGTGCTCTATAGATTGACGGCAGTGGCAGCGGCCGAGAATGCTCATCTTCGACAAGGAGTCAAGTGCCGAAGCAAAGAGCAGCTGGAAGCATTTCAATGTGAGGAAGTCCGTTGCAGGGTCAGATACACCGCTGAGTGGCTGGGACGACCATCTCGGTGCGATCATTTGAGATGCGCTGAACTGTGATTAGATGTAAATAGTTTAATATTGTTTCTCGCACCCAATCAAATGCACTGATGCTGTGATTATAATGCTATGGCAAGTAGATTACATAGTATGAGTTATGAGCAATTTCTTCTCGTAATTATGTAATTAGATACCATTGCAATGCAAAAATGCCTTCAAATCCCTAATCGTGCTCCTCCGACATCGATCTGTGGCCGGGGCACTGTCACTTGTTTCTTATATTGTTCTGTGTGTGGTGTTCCCTTCTTCTGGCGCAGTCTTCTCCCTCTCGTTCGCTTGCATTATATTGCGTTCGTTGATTCTTTTTGCCGCCGCAGGGTTGAATATTGATCGACTCTCCCCAGGCCTAAACCTCTCGTACTATTCAACGGTTCGATACCTGCGGTGGCGCAGCCTTTACAGACGAACTGGACATCAGTTGTGAAAGCAGACCATACTCAGTCCGTTGAGAAACCTCGTTCTGACACGCGCAGTGGGACCAAAAGGGGCTTCCTGACTTTGAACCACCACTCCTTCCCCATATCACATCTCATTTTGTGATGAATTTCTTCAAGTCGAAGCCGCGCACACCGCCAGACCTCGTCCGGGGACTCCGAGACGTGCTCTCCAAGCTCGAGGCGGGTCCCCCAGGGAGCGAGACGAGGCGAAAGGCAAATGAAGAGGTCGCGCGGAACCTTCAACAGATCAAGGCGATTCTGTATGGCGATGGTGACCCGCTCCCGGAGCTCGTCGCACAGCTCGCACAAGAGACATACAATACCGACTTGCTCTACCATTTGCTAGTGAATATTCACCGGCTTGAATTCGAGGCACGCAAGGACGTCGTCCAGATCTTCAACAACCTCCTTCGACGCCAGATTGGTGCTCGTTTCCCGACGGTCGACTACATTCGCTCGCGTGCAGACGTGTTATTTGCTGCATTTGACGGCTACAAGGATGAGGAGGTGGCTCTTAACACCGGCATGATTCTCCGGGAGATGCTTCGGCACGAGGAATTAGCCAAGACTCTGCTTCATTCTGACCAATTTTATACCTTTCCTCATTACATCGAAACGACGACGTTCGGTGTCTCGTGCGACGCGTTCGCGAACTTCAAAGAGACGCTTACGCGCCACAAGACGATGGTCGCGGAGTATCTAGACAAGAACTATGATCGCTTCTTCAGTTCGTTCTCGTCCCTAATTCTGTCACCCAACTATGTGACGAAACGGCAATCGCTGAAACTACTCGGCGAGATCCTGCTCGACCGGGCGAACTTCTCCGTCATGACACGGTATATTGCAAGCGAGACAAATCTGAAGACGATGATGAACCTACTCAGAGATAAGAGCAAGAACATCCAATTCGAAGCCTTCCATGTTTTCAAGGTCTTCGTGGCGAACCCAAAGAAACCGCCGCAAATTGAGATGATACTGAGACGGAACAAGGACAAGCTTCTTACGTTCCTCAAGAGCTTCCACAATGACAAAGAGGACGAACAATTCACGGATGAGAAACAGTTCCTGATTGTCCAGATACAGGGACTTTGAACAGGTATCCGTTCTCCCCTCCTCGACCTCCCGACCTTTCCCCTACCTTGCGTTGGTGACCAGTCGGGGCCCGTCCACTATCCCCCACCAACAGTCGTGCTACTCTTGGTCCGTCTCCCTAGGACTGTCTCACTCGACCCGCTCGCATCGACCTTCCTACGTACTCTGTAGCTTCGTCGCACATTCCCTCCCGTGGAATCCATGTGTATCACCAGCATCTACTCCGTTGTCGTCCTGTTCTGGCCTTCTTTATATCGACAATCGTCTCTGCCTGCTTTCTGATATCTATTGCCTCACGGCACACGTGTACTTTACGCAGCTTGAATCTCGCCTTGTTAGCGCATTTGACGATTGTAATGGATTTTCTTGGGTGGTGCTTACATCTCAGTTTTTCGCAGGTTGTGTTATAGTCCAATTTCAGATTGCATGAACTCGAACACGCGAGTCAAGGTGTTCACTCTGCTGGATTGTACTCTTTCTCCTATGATGCACTTCTGACCATGATCGGAACGACTTAATCGATGCATGGACTTGAAGCTACATTAGAATTGGCTCCTGCTGTTTGACAGGAATCTCTTGGCATAATTATTTGTCCAAAAAGCAGATGTCAAACGTAGAATTAGGGAAGACTATCAGAGCAGAGAGCATCGAAGACGTAGGTGCGTAAACGCATGCTTGTGCATTGAATAAACCGAGGTGCTGGCAAATAACGAGCAGTCTCAGGCTATGGTCAACAGATTCGGATGCTTCCATCTTGCGTGTTCGCGCTGCTGTCGTGAGTGTTGTCTAGTGAAAGTTAGCGCAGGAGGAACCCTCCCATCAGATTTCTTAATGATCCGAAGAAAGCACTAGGTCACCCCATATTCAATCTTTCGCTTGCGCCGGACTCTTTGATCTGCATATTTGTATTATTCAGGAGAACGTTCGCGAATCAGGCTTTTGCTTACGGGATGTACTCAATGACTGGTCTCAAGTGAGGCAAGTTATTGAGAGCGCATATTATCAATCGAATTGTGTCTATTTTTCTTAGAAACGAATATTGTGGATGGCGGTGACCTAGTATGATGTCAAACTTCTGAGCGAGTCGCTACATCTTAGGAGTTCGTTGGGGGAAGAGGCAGAAAATAGTGTTCTACTCATAAGGTCATATTACTTCGGTGTGTCATGCGGTGATACGTTGTCCCTTTGCTTGCGGTTTATTAGTCCCGTGCCTTGTGCGTTGTAGAGTCCTCACTCCATCAAAGTGAGAGTAGCCAAATTGGATGGAATGATGATGAGTTGAATACACCTCTTGCCTACCAGCCTCATCATCATGCTCACGGATGATCGTGCTGAATAGACATCGCACTTGCACAGGGTATGGCTAAGGCATGGTGCTCGACTTTATTTGGCAATCAGATGGTAATTGTGGAGAATGAGTGACGTCATATTTGCTGTCGTTCTGCATACATAAGGGTGCAACTCAAGTCCATTCTCGATCTGCAGCCCTTGAGCTTGGACGACGCATAAATTTCATCAATCTCCCCCCAGAAAAAAATCATGAGCGACGAGTACGCGAGCAGCGGTTTCCAGGGGTCATTGGTGAACGACTGTAAGGGGATTATCAGGTCATATTCACAGTGCTGAATTTTCATCCTGCAGCGCTTCAAACATCGCGCGGAGAAGGAACTTACGAGACTGGGAACTACCCGCCACCAGGAGATAGTGAGTAGTCTGTGGAGTCTCATAAACTTAGTGATATATTGGCAACGTTTGCAGCAACATCCTCCGGAGGCTACAGTTCGCGGAACACATGGACCAATCGTAGTCAGCGCGGGCATCTAGAGAACATGAGCGGCAGTGCTGAGGCTGGCCTTCTCGACCAGTCCGTGACAGGCGGGCCAATAGGCGATGAAATCGAGGACGCAAAGCAGGGTCAAGACGAACTGAGCCGGAAGAATTTCCATCATGAGGCTATCCGTGACTTTGGCGGGCCAAGCATTGGCATCACAGAAGGCTTGAATCCATACGGGAGGAATATTGACAGCAAAGATGAGGCAGCACAGATGTTGTCTTCGAGCCATAATGACGCAAGAGGGAGACGGTTTGAGAGCGAGCCAGCGGCCAGCAACGATGCGGACGCTGGTGCGGTCTAAACCCACACCAACGTCTGAACGCACAGGAAAGAGCGGTGATATAGGAAAGAAACATGTAGAGAACCGTTTGTACTAAGATTAGGGAAGTTCAAAGTTGACGCAGCTGGGCTCGCAGAAAGTTCTGCGGCGCAGATGTGCTTTTGGGCGCTAGAAAAAATGCGAGTTTCTTGAATATGCGGTCACACTGACTTTCCTGCGACCCAAGTGTGACCTTCGGTGCGATCACGCATGGCACGCCGCACGTCATCGACTACTCTTTGAGAATCCTACTATAGTCGGACGAAAAATTCGTACAGACTCTCAATCGCTTTAAAACAGTGATCTGTGTATAGTAGAATGG